TGATAAATTGAAAAAAATTCTTTCTGAATTTATTTATGCATACGTGTTTGATTAGTTGAACTTTAAAATTATCTTTCATTGAGATTTATGCGAGTAATTCAAGAAATTTCAAGATGGCATGCAAAACTATTATTAATTTTGCCATATTACATTTTTAGAGCTTGTTAAAGAAAGAAATTGGCTTTTGCGCCATATTATAAGTACAAAAAAGGTTTGTAATTGTGTTTTGTCTTAGAATAAAATATTAGATATTTATAGCCAACAATGCAATGACCAGCTTTGATAAAAGCCATGTAACTAAAAGAAGTTTACTGTATATACATTTTTTAACAGGCTTTTTAGCCCAATTTATTTATGAATTTTTTCTAGCCCAAGTATATACAAGTATTCACATAATACTTTTTTTGTTAGAATATTCATAAGTACATATTAGTGTTATAAGCCTATCAAGAGTTAGTAAGCTCAGTCGGCTGACTCTTATTACTATTAGTGCATATCGTTTGATTGTTATAGAAAATTGCCAATGATGAAGATTTCAAGCGGTATAATGTTTTCGTGAGTGAGAACTAAAAAAAAAAATGATATGATAAAATTTTGTAACAACTTTTATGTTTTAATTCAGAAGAAATATTCACACTGACTTCAATTCAAAGTAGCGTTATGTATTAATGTCAGTTACTTTTTATTAAGGAAGTTTTGAAGTTATACAGTAAACATAATACATAATATTTTTATCACATTAATTTTAGAAGTTATTATTGATCCTAACACTAAGTGATAGTCCTAGAGTTATTTACACCACCATCCAGCATGGTTGGTTTAAGTAAAGACAAATAATTGTTTTTATACCAGATTTACACTCAAATATATATACATGATAAAAAGTTCAAATCTTATAAATGAAAAACTAAACAATTAAAATAATAGAAATTTATAATATTTTATTTTATCCTGTTATCGCAGGTTGCAGGTTCCATTGGTCAACAGATTAAGCAGTAACAGTAGCTGCTGGTGGAAGTTCAGTATTTGCTGCTGGTGCTGGTGGTGGTACGGACGCAACGGATTCGGTAGTAGTTGATGGTGGTGGTGTGGCCGCAACGGATTCGGTAGTAGTTGATGGTGGCGGTACAGATGGTGGTGGTGCAGTGGTTGGTACTGCTTCTATTCCAACGGATTCGGGAGAAGTAGTTGCAGGTGCAGGTACAGTTGCTGGTGTGCCTGATTCTGGAGTAGGTGCAGTTTCTGCAGGTGTAGTTGCTGCAGGTGCAGTTTCTGCAGGTGTAGTTGCTGCAGGTGCAGTTGCTGCAGCAGGTGCAGTTGCTTCTGGAGCTGGTGGTGATGGAGCTGGTGGCGCTGGAGCTGGTGGCGCTGGAGCTGGTGGCGCTGGAGCTGGTGGTGCTGGAGCTGGTGGAGCTGGTGCTGGTGCATTTGCTGCCGGTGGTACCAAAACATTACCTTCATTATTAACATTAATCGCAGCGGGTGAAGTAATAGATTGACGTTTTCCCCATTTACTTTGACCATCAATAACTACATAAAGACCACTTTCAGGACCCATATCACTAAGCCGTTTTGGAAGTTTTTCTTCAGAATAATCCTTCACCATATCTTTATAAATATCTTTACCCTTACAAGTTTTATGCTTGAAACCTTCATCACCACCACAATCCCACATTAAATCACTAACTTTAACTACCCAAGGTTTGCTACCCCATGCCCCAATTTCACATTTATCTTCATGTTTTTTATGTCTCTTATCAAAATAACTACCTCTCTTTCTATGA